AGGTACACAGAAACGATACCCAGAGAAAATATGGTAATAGAAAAGAAGAAGCTCAAACAACAATAAACAGCTCACAGTCGAATCCAAAAGCATTAGAAGATTTCAGGCTGTGTTGGTAGAAGTACAAATCCATCTAGGATCAAATTATTCACCCATTTAGTCTGGAACCTTGCACGGCCTGGCAATTAGTTCAACTGCACAATGCTACTTAGGGTACATTTACAATCCCTACGCATCCTATACAGCACAACCAGACTTTAAAATGGAAGAACTGCATATAGGCTACCCCACAAAAACACTATAGGAATTACTCCCATATTGTGTGCTACGTTTGTTTCGGAAAACAAAATGCAAGCAAATAAATCTCATGTCCTTCTTTGTATCCTGTGCAACTTAAAGCAAGTTAATCTCTTTGTGCCTCTGTTTCCTCATCTGTGAAATCAGGATCATATTAGTGCCCTTATGGGGCTCCTGGCCTGTTTTAACATCTGGGTTATGAATTTTCCTGTCAGGCTTAACATCCTCAGGAATCCTAGGCAGTCTCAAAAGACAACACTCTCTTTAGCCCAGATTAAAATGGAGAAAACTGCTCTGCCAGGCAAGAAGTTACTTGAGCGAAACTCACTTAGGTAAAACAGCGTCCATGAACACTGAACAGACAACCTGATCTTTCACTCCTCGCTGAGGAACTCACCTGAGCAGACTAAGAGCAGAAACGCACGTCACTGCATGGGTCTGATCTGCAGAAGGAGGTTTTTCATTCTGTTTGAGAAACAAAGAGAAAGCAATTAGGAACTGTACAATTATGAGCTGAAATGGTGAAGTTATAAAAGGTAAAAGTAAATGATACCCCCGTTATTTCTTACCAGCTCTGATTCATCATTGCATGATACCATTTTTACAACAATTTACAGTGAAATAGTGCTATGAGTCTAATTCTGTAAGCGACTTCACACTTATGTAAAGAGAACTGCTGTATGTTAAGCAGCAAGTCTCAGTCTCTTCYCAAACAGTGTTTGAAGGAATTTGGGTTATAATTATCAATTCCTTAGAATATAATTATTCTATGACTTGTAATTTTTCCGCAACGATTCCCTTCCTGCCAGATGGGTTTAATCAGAGGTCATTCTGGCTAATAATTCATGTGATCTTATCTCCTCTTGAATTAAGACATGATGCCTTTAAGAGAAAGTATTTCCTCCTACTGTACTATAACCTTGACCTACAAAAACAACATCTGGATCAAAGGTACAATTTGGTTTCCTAAAGTAAATCTTCATCTAAATCTAAAGTACATTCATCTAAATCTAAAGTAAATCTTCATCTTGGCATCCAAATTCATCAGCAGGCTGCTAATCATAATGTCAAAAAGGTGATCTTTTTAAACAAATTTTATGCTTGAGCCTGTGGGAAGTGCCCATCTAGAGCAGATTGCTGTTTATTCCCTCACATTTGCCTGCTGCCACACACTGTAAGCAGGTCCTTGGTTACCTTTCASTTGACTAGTGGCGGTGATAATAACGATACATCTTTTATTTTTAGAGCACTCAGATCCAAAGGCAAGTTACCTCCACACACATATGCATGCACACACAAATGTAAGTAATATCTGAACGTTTCCAAAGGGCAACAAGTCCTTTTGGAATAGTAATGAATAGAGAAATCATCTTGTGCCCTGCATGAGATAGGTGCATTGCAAGATTTTTCTGTATAGCTTCCATGAAAATTGGCCCCTAAGCAAGGGTGTGAGTCATTGATGAATACAGCTCTGAGGCTTCACGCTGTGCAGCAAGAGCTGTAAAAGGCATTAGAGGAACACAGGGGAGGAGGAGGGGAGAGAGAGAGGGTTAGAAGGTTATTAAATAAAACCTAGTGATGGTTTTACATGAACATTTTCTGCAGTGTTTTGAAACCGCCCGTCCTAACGCACGGGCAGCGAGGGGCTGCTGGCTGCAGTGCCCTCTGTTGGCTGGTGCTCAAAGGGGCCGAGCGGACCCTTCTCTGCCCTCCTGCAAAACAAGCTTTTGTCTCCGTCTAAAAGGATTTGCTTTCGCAGCAAGCCCAGCGGATTCCAGTAACGAAAACTCAGATTGTGCTCGTGAAATAAATTACCCTGTGTCAGTAGAGGCTTGCAGTAATTTTTCCAAATGAAATAATTTATTCCAGCAAAAGGAGAGTTTTTCCCTTTGTATCCACATCCATCTGCCACACAAAAGCCCCTGCCTGCAGCACCACATCAGCAGAAGTCACAGCCTTTACCCCACAGCAGGGCAAAAGTAGAGAGGGGGCCAAGGACACTCTTCTGGGGACCGTGACAGATGAAATGTAGAACGAGTCACAAATTTTAGTTGCACATCTAAATTTCCTCAGATTTCAGGTGTATTTGATTTTGGTTGAGACTTGTCTTTTATTTTAACATACCAAAAATTACACATGATGGTAATTCATATCGTTCACTTGCTAGCAGCAGATTATCTGTAATTGATAACTGATCAATTTGATCAGTTTTTGAATATGAGCAACCTGTCTTCCTGGAGATCCTGGTCTCAATAGAGACATCAGATTTTAGCCAGCACATAAATGAATATCATGGCAGATTCCTCATCCTTTGTATTTCCTGCCTATCTGTCCCTTATTTGGGTAACAGTCCTGTTGATCTCTCTTGCCATTTTTGCTTATTTCTTTGTCAACTGTTAATCTATCCATCTGAAAGAAAAGCTACACTACACCCCAGTACTGATGGGATCATCATTAACATCATGAAACACTCTAAGAATGCAGATGAAAAGAACTGCATATAGAATTTATCATAATCTATTAATTAACTGGGTAATAACTTGCTACATTGGTGTAGTTATAAATAATCCAATAGGTCTTTAAATAAATCTTTTCTTCAGTAATAAGATGGTTTAGATTAACTTTAAAAAAAAAAGAAAAAAACTCTTCTGTATTGTAGATAAAAAAATATTTGTCACAACCCAATCGTAATTAAAAATCTTAATTTTCCTACAGCTCATCTAGTTAAAGAGTTTGGGCTTAAACAAACACACACAAAAAAACCCTAAGTTTGTTTTTGGTAGGTGTAAGAGGAGCTGTAAGTCTTTATAAAGGTGAGGAAGAGTAGTTTGGTGTTTATGTGTTTCAAACAAACACAGGCACAATATGTAACTGAAAATTCAACTRCTTCAAAGGGAATCTGTACTGGAAGAAAACACTTAGTCACGCTGCAGTGTTGTTTTGTCCACAATAACTTTTGTTTYGCTAACCCAGCTTTAAAAATAACACCCATAAATATAACAGAAAATAACCTCTGCATGTTTGTTTGTTTTTAGAATGGAAATGATATTCCCCCTTTCAACTGAGGTACTGGGTCACTGCTGTTGTTTCCAAGACCCCTGAAATACACAGACGTGCAGCACCATCTGCTGGACTCACGTGTCTGTCAAACACGCAGGCACTTATTTACCAGGAGCAGCACTACAGGCAGAAGGAGAAAGCCGTACAAACAAAAGCATATCATGGAGATGTAGCTAGTCTGTATCAGGCAAAAAGAATTCATGGGCCTGGAATTTCCACGGAGAATTGTGGAATAATATTTTTTACTCATGTAAGACTTTATWCTTCTGAGGTGCTAAATGCTGCACTTGCAGAAGCTAAGAATAGAACTTGTAATTACAAAAGCGACCCTTCAGAAGTTTGGTAACTGCCTTAAATTGCATTAAAAAATAAACTTCAGTTTGGTTTCTTGCTTATGTTTCTTGCTTTGCTGCCATCACAGTACATGATCAAAACTTACCACTCCAGATCCCTGCCCTGCACGGTGCGCGGCCCTGGCTATGCTCATCAGATGGCAACAACTACTCAATAATTTACTTGMATCTTATCAGATGTCACGCGGTCCCACATGCTCTTTAACACACAAGCGCAGCCTGGGAACAGGCATCTCTTTAAGGTGCTCGACACCGCAATGCCACATTGMGCTGCAGACATAATGTAAAATCCCTACAAGGCGAGTTGCATTTGAGTTCTTACTTTGCGTGGGGAAAGCAGCACTGATAGCTGTATGCCARCGTGTCATGGTGGCCTCCAATGCACCTCTAGCAGCCTCTAGTGTCTTTGGAGCTYGGTGTCATGGTTGTAGCTGTGCCCCACCGCAGCCATCTTTGGTGAAGAGACTTGCCATCCAAGACCAACCATAGTCTGCATACTGCCACACCACTGACTTTCACTGCTCTTCAAGGATCCTTTTATCCTTGGTTCCACAATATGGTTCCATAGCACATGCAGACGTCCAGGGACTTCTGCTGTGGACAAAGCTTCCTCCTCCATGCTGGAGGCTGGGCAGATACCTCTTCCTCCATCCTTTTTGAGAGCAGACTTGGGGCTGATGGAAACTTCGCAAATCAGCCATTTCAAGGGCCGCCTCATGAGAGGAACCCTCTGCGAGTGCCTGTGGCTCCCAACCACCCATTGCAAACAATGAAATTCATTGCCACGGAACAACTTACAAGCTGAGAGGATAAACAGGTTCAAAAAAGTCAATAGCCAACAGCAAGAGGCCACCTTAGGGAAGTTACCTGCTGATTTTGGAAGACCTTCATAAGGAAGGGGCAGGTGAAAGGTGTGAGCTCAAACACCACAGTTACCCGTGACTAAATAAGCTGGAGGTTCACCCAGCAGCATGGCTCTCCCCACAGAGCACATGGTGAGATTTCCACCGCAAGCAGCCGCTTCCCTCCATTACAAACTGGTCACTACGACTGATGCAGGGGCAAAACCAGCAAGAAGGCTGAAAAAGCCCGCGGGGTCTTTTGAAGAAAAGAACCACAAGGGCGAGCGTCGCCCCCGCCGCGCTGAGGAGAGGCGCGGCCGCCAACGGCCCCGCGAGGCGGCGCCGCGGCCGGCCCGGGGCGGGCAGGGGCGGGCGCCGCGGCCGTTGCTAAGGGCCGCGCCGCCGCCGCCATGGAGGCCGCCGCCGCCGCCGCCTCGGTGCTGGCCGAGCTGCGCTGGGACGATGGCTACGCCGTGCCCGTGGCCAACGCGGAGAACAGGGCGCTGGAGGAGGAGGTGAGCGCCGCAAGCCCGGGAGCCGGAGCAGACCAGCCCTC